CTTAATCATTTCTAAATAATTAAAATAATGAACTAAGGCATCAATAAGAAGCCTCTTTATATTATCATAGGCTTAATGTCTTTGAATTATAGAATGGTAGAATAAATTATAAATTTTAAATTAACCTTTATTCTAGAACAAAATTTTTAATTTTTTTGATTTAACACAAACAGATTTATTTATTTACTTTGCATTTTAATTATTTTTTTCTTTGATTCATTCATTTTTTATTCAATTTTATTTACTCAATGATTTCTTTTATCTATTTCATTAAACTTTTTGATTAATGTATTTTTAATCAGAGTGATCATTTTATTGTTATTATGGTGTTGTTGTTGTTTTTGTTTTTCTCTCTCCTACTTTCATGGTTCTTAAAAAATAAAACATCTTTATATTGTTGGTTGGTAGATCGGAGGTCACTTAATATTAAATTAATTATAATATTATCAAGTTTTTTTGAAGTTGAAAAATATTCTTGATTTTATCCATATTTCATAAATATTACATTTAAAAAATTATGTAAATTACTTAGCTTGAATTAAAATTTCAATATTGTTGTATTCGTTAAGTTGAATTGTTTTAATCTATCAAGGTTAATACAATATGTGATGATGAATCAATGCAATTATTTATTCTCATTAGCGCAATTCGTTTAAGTCAAGGCTTCCTTCTCGTATTTATTCATTTACTTGAACACATAAATATTAGTACAAGGGGGCACCAGATACATATGCGCCACACAAATCTCATTTGATTTGTTTGAGGGCTGTGATGCTACCTGGGTGCCCAAACCGAAGCAGGTGGTTCTCTTAGGGGGCTACACCCGAAGCCTTTGACCTAAAGATCTGATCCACAAGTCAGTGGAGCAACGTCAGGAGATGCAGTCCCATGGTAGCCGGTGACCAATAATTGGTTCATACGCCATTTTTTCCCTCAGGATACTGAGCCAATGTGAACCATTAGTTTGGAATCAGGGTTTTCTAGCTCCCCTGGGCGAACCCTCCATGTCCACCAACCCGGTTAAACCGTTGGACATTCGCTTTTCGCCATCTCAATTTCGTAAACAACACCCCTGCCACGAGAAGGCAGTGAGCAGGAATTCTCTGGTAGTGGCTGTATACGTGTAGCCATGTGTGAGCATTTCGAGAGGGTGAGCTGACTTTCCCCACTCTCGGCCGTACCAGGGCATTTGAGGCTTTTCTTCTTGTTAACAGGCGAGGAAGATATCAGTGGGATCACGGATTTTCTCAATCATTGAAAGATTAGTAATGTGGAAATGAAAAGCTATCGAACATTAATTTAGACAATTTCAATGACAACATTTCCAGTGGCATGAAACTCACAAACGACCATGCCTGATATTTGTCAAACTCACCATCATGTGAAAATCATTGAATGTGTTATTTTACTCTTTGCAAAAAAACATACTGTCATTGTCAGTTAGTCCTATTTATCATCGTCACGGTTTTCAAATTCGTAGAATATAAGCTGATGAGATATTATTGGTTTGTTAACTGAATCAATTGCTGAAAAGCTCGACTAGTCTAACATCATCTATGAAATTGGTTACAAAATGTTTGTGTAGCATGTTGAGGACATGTATTGTGTATGTTACTTATGTCTGTCAACATAAATAGCATGTCACACCATTCAGAAGTGGAATGCCTAGCAGAAGAATACTGAGAAGATGGAATTGAATAGAAATAGGTAGAACGGAAATGTTAACAAAGAGTAGTTGTAATAAAAACAGGAATGAATGGACGATGAAGTTTGTAAGCGACAATTGATGGGAGATGTACAAATGAAGTATTAAATATATGGATTTTGTATTTTATCAAAGCGCTCTGTAATTTTAGCTTAAACAATAAATCGGTCTTTCCCACTTAAGTGTTGCTTCATTACACATGTATTTCACTGCAAGAATGGCGAAGTTTTCGGTAAAATAAATCAAATTTTAAGAATATCAAAATCAATAATTCTTCTCATCAGATATGAAGTATTTTTTTTTCTAAGTTCCGATTTGACTTCTGTTGTGCAAAATGATCATTATAGTCGGCTACCGGTGTAAGTCAATGTTTGAACCATTTTACTCTTTGCTTGAATACGAATAATTAGGAAATTAGTATAAGACTGATCTGTGGTCACCTATAATTTCACGAAGAATCAAATCCACAATAATCTTGTACTAATAACAAAATATTTCACTAACAAATTTTGAAATTGATATCTTTCATATAACATCGTGTTTCTTAGTTTTAACTCATCTACAACGAAACTATGTCTGTAACTGATTACATCATTTGAAATATTTTTTAGTAATTATTATTCTTTTTAAACATTTTTCGATCGCCCTCACATCAAAATCAAATTACATAGAGCTAATACGATTTCTAAAAATCATAAAAGTTACTCTTTAATATAAAGATAGGTAGTCGTATAACCATGGTAATTGTCACGACTGTATGTTATCTACAAATCATTATTGTTATTATTACTTTGGGCGTTTTTCTATGGTTATTTACATGTAACTATATATATCTGTGTCATATAATAATAATAATATGAGGGCATACAGCTGTTTTTTTCACTTGAGTATTTTTATATGTATCTTATCATAAAAATTCGTTAAATTTTAATGGTAAAATCTAACTACAACTACTTTTCAACTCAACTGTGTTTTAACATTGTGACCTGATTTTGACCCTTATTATTCTTCCTACGTTTTTTTCTCTTATATCTCGTCATAGATATACATAGTTGTAGTTTTTTATGCTAATTGTCGTTAAATCAGTTATAATATTCATAAGGAATCAATATTGTACGCTTGCCAGTGTAGGCATACTTAGTAAATAGTGTTATTTTAAGCGTTAGTGATATATATATATATATATATATATGATATGATATGATATGAATGATTTTAACCCTGTTAATTCGATCAGTTATGAGCATTTTTGTTTTGAACTACAGATTCTGTTCTATGTAAAATGAGTTGGTTTTTTTACCGTAAATTTTGAAGTTTGTTACAAATAAATTAGTTAAGTAATTGTTTTTAACCTTTGTAAAATGATTATTTTGAGTATTCGACCTAAAATCTTACTGTTCGTATTAAATCTAATGATACTAAACAGTTGCACAAACCGTATTAAGTGTTATATGGTGTCTCAGCCATTGAATTGTTAATTGAAAACCGAACGCTTCGACCACCGGTTAAGCTAGTAGGTCTAATAAAAATATCTTTTGGATATCTGGGTATTCTAATGAGAAAAAAGTGTTAAAGTCGTTGGAAAATATTTGTAGCTCCACCGGATACTCTCGGTGTTGTCGTGTTCTTCAAGATCCATCGATATTGTAACAATATAGATAATTATCCACTCAAAGACGTGATGCGTGATTCTTAATTTCCAAATGTTCTTGAGAAGTTCCATTCAATACCCATTGGATAAAACATCTGAATTTTTCTGGGTTTCTAGTGACTTTGATGAATAATATTTCCGAATTACCCATCACTTAGGTAGAAGACATAGAGCGTTATACCAGCGTGCTGTACTAGTTGTGTGGCATTTCAATCGTAAATTTTACATCATATACATAGGATAAACTGTGTCTCAAATATGTATGCATTCAACGTTAGTTTGCTGGTTTCAACCTGATCACTAGGATAATGTAAAATCAATAGCATTTTATATATTTGGCCAATAATTCTGAAGTATCAGAGTTCAACTATGTGTAAACATTGTAGTGTTGTTCAACTTCAATGATCACATAGTCAACTGCCAAATAGTTATAACAATACTTAATTTGTACTGAGCATTGTTGAATAAAATTTATTATTTTCTTATATTCGTCCAAATGTCGTCCACATTTTTTCAGATCTATTTTAATTGAGATCATGAATTGATGAATGTTAGACCACTATTGAAACATTGGGAGGACTGGACGATCGTTTCGTCCTAATATGGAATCCCTCAAATGGGACTCGAACCTAGGACCTACGGTCTCACTCGAACGCTGAACCTCGAGACCACTGGGCCGTGATCCAACGGTGTTCATGTCTAACTTCAATTAATCCACGATATTGAGCGACCATCTTCCACTGTCTGAGATGGATAAATCTCACACCTGACACAGATTAGACTCCACTGGTTACGGCTTCTCACTAGAAATCCGACAATCCCCTCTCGAAGCTAGTCACCAGTGAGGACATGATAATTATCGCCATAGGGTTGTAGGAATTTTCATCCTCTTTTTTAATGTACATTTAAAATACTTTTGTGAAAGTCAGGTCTTTATTTTCATTAATTCCTTGTATTTCATAAATAGTTTTCTTGAATATAAAACAAATTTCATACAAACTGTTGTGACAAGCCGTGTCCGAAATCTGTCATTGATACATGGTATGGTACGCTCTGACTCCTCAACTGACTAATTGAGTGAAAATATAAGAGTGAGCGTGAAAGTACATCGGGTTACCGATTGAAGTGCACAATTCCTCATGTATATATATATATATATATATATATATACCACTCTAAACCTTAGGAAATTAATTTATTTCTGAGCTAATAAAATACGCCTAATCTCTAGGACCCTTCTGATTGATTCACCATATCACAAACATCATAAATGTTTTCTAATTTTTTTGTCTTTTAATAATTTACTCAATCAAATACATGAAAATATTATATTGACAGGTTGTTTTGAATTTGGATAATTTTATTGTGTATATATCATTTAACATTTATCTTAAATCGAACATTTAACATGTTATTTAGTTTATTTGCAGTTTTCACTGTTGTTCTAATTTACGGAACATTAATACCCTTGCACATTTAACCTTAATGTTTATAATAACAGTCTTAACACTTTGATAGCTTCTGGTATTATACTATATATATTGTTTATTTTGAGATTTATATTTTGATTTTTCTTTATTTTTTCCTATTATGCAATTTTATATAATCAATATGTTGGTGCTATCTGTTCACTACTATTCAAAGGTGATTGGTAAATGTTCACCTTATTTTACCAAAAGAAAAAGACAACAAACATTGAATAATCTAGATCTCCTTTTACCGATAATTGAGGTAACACCAGTCAAAATTACAAAAACAGTAAATATTTTATCATCAGCTATAAATTCAAATAATTGGTGTAATGACCACTTATCGTCAACTAATATCGATTCAACTAATAATTATGTATCATCTCTGAGTTCATTTGATCTACTAAACAGTCCTGTTGTTAATTCTTTAAGTATTTTACAAGTGGAATCACCTAAATTGAAAATCACGAATAGAAAATCGGACTTGAAAAATTTACAAAATACTAAGATTAATACTCCATCGATACTTAGTGTACCCCTTATGGATTGTTTAATTTATAATGAGAATTATCAAGATCCAATATCGATTGATCCTTCCACAATATCATCTGATGATTGTTTGATTGATAATCAGGTAAAAAAAGTGTTTTGATCTGTTTGCCAGTATACCTTGAATGATTCAGTGTGCTGCTATTTGTTGCATTTTACATTGTTCTTTGTATATATATTTGCTTCTATGTTTCATCGTTGAAAATTGGCTTTATTTCTTGCTTGATATGTTCTGTTTTGCTTGATAACTTGTTTTATGTATATTTACCTGCGTTTATGTATATCTAGCTTAGTGTTTCTTAGTGCTTATTCAAAATAATGTAAATGTGCTCCCATGGTCTTAAAATTTGGCTGTTTGTTTAATGTTACAAGTCATTGATGGGATGTATAGAATGATGTGTTTCTTGATGTGAATATGTTTTTCAATGTTTTTTTTCTCGTTATCAAGTATTTAAGAACGTTTAGTTATTTACTGCATGTTTACACATGGGTATTCATATCTTTTCATAACTATTGTTAATTGTGCTTTATGATAATTTTGCATTATTAGTAAATGTAATGGAATTTCGATTGTTCCTTTCTTGTTTTGTAGGTGAATAGGAAGTTGGCCCAATGTACATGTTGTAATAAATTGCATATGCAGCGTCTAGAAGAAGGTCGATATAAGCTAGGTTCACGTATTTATTACTTACGCAGATTTCGTAATCACGTCATGGTTCGAGTTGGTGGGGGTTGGTTAACATTAGATGAGTTCTTGCATCGTCATGATCCGTGTAGACGAGGAGTTCACTCATTTAATATGGAACCAGCAGTTGTATCTAATGATATCCCTCCCATCAAGTCATGTTTTAATGTTCCTAAACCAATTCGTCGACATTCCGAATTTGAATCTCCACCTATTTCACAGATCAATTCCATGAGTAATTTCAGCAGGCAATGGTCTTGTGGTAGTAACAGTAGTATGGAAAGCCCGAGAAGTGATTCCAGTATGATTGACACTGGAATAGTTAGCGAGATTTCCAGTGGAGGAAGCATTTCTCAAGCATCTTCTTCATTAAACTCCATTAAACAAAAACAAGAAAGACCAAAAACAACTGCTCGTCTTACCATACCAAAGGCTCCAAATCTTAGGACGGCTTCACGGTCCCGTGATACGTCTAAGAAAAATTCAGATTCTGGGAAGAAAATTTCAGATATTGCTACTGCTGTTACACATTCTCGTGCGTCTTCGGCAAAGCGGACAAATGTTCCAGTAAATAATACAAAAAATTTTCGAACACCATCACAGCCCCGTAATCTTTCATCAAAACGTGAAGACTCTGTATCAAGAGCCTCAAATATCCGAAAAGTTTCGAAATCGCGTGAATCCTCCGCTAAACGTGAAGAATCCACACTGACAAATTGTCGCGCGGATTCTACAACTCGTCGAACTCTTTGGAGAAATTAATTTCTACATTTTTTTCTCTTTTTAAAAAAAACTCATTTGGTTGATTTTATTTGATTATTTATTTTAGCACCAGTTATAAAATTCCATTTAACTGCTTTTTTGGTTAAGATTCCTTTACAGATAATCTGTCACACTTTGTGCAGAATACAACTTCACGAAATAGGTCCACTTGTTTTTGTTTTCGTCATTATTATTATTTACTGTCTTCTGGAATCTTTGTACATACGGAATTTCTTAAAATACTAACTCACATTATATAACCTTGTAATATCTTTGAAGAATAATAAAGTATAATATTTATTACTATTGAAGTAAGATAAAAAAAAGGAGAATTCTGGTCTTTTTTGTTATGTCATCTAGTAATTCGATTTTTTTAAACCGTTGTTTTATTCAACGATCAGGAACTTTATTGTAGTTATAGAGACAGGATAATTCAGTATTATTGTGTTCATGCTTTACAGTTGTTATGAAATGATGGGGGAATATTTGTAGACCAAGATGAGAATGTTGGAGATGTAGTTTCCTTGAGATTAGAGAACTCAATACTAAAACAAATTATTATTAAATCATTATTGAACTCAGTTAGTTCTCTAAATATATCCTTTAGAATTTTATACCAAATATAGTTAGTGATAAGCAGGGTAGACATGTTAGGAAAGTACTCAACAGGATTAATTGATTAGGATTTCAAATGGGTGAGTCACATATGTTAAATTAAGATACAACTAATGATGACGTTAGAACAGGAGAAATGCTTGATTAGTAAAATCCAATCGTACTAATTATAAGTATTTACTAAAGACAACAAAACACATACATTTTTAATGGTAAATGAATTGATCCAGTAGTTGACATTACGAAGTAATTTCAGCTAGACGACTATTGGAAACAGCAGCAATCGTTAGCTGCTTTATCTTTGGATTGGACTGAAGAGTAAGCAACAATCACCCGTATCAGATATTGGACCCAGGACCTTCCTTCAAATACTATCTTAATCACTGAATTGGCATACACTGGTTCATTTTCCTAACATCGTTTTACTCAGCTCTACACAATCTTAGTTTGCGTAAATGTAATTTGTCAGTATAAAATGTAAGTAAAAACCTAACATTGTGATATTGGAGTTATGTACTTCGAACTAATTTGTTTACGTTGTGGTTTTGGAATGAAATTAATGCTCAGTTGTATATGTGATATTTTCTTAGAGATCGATTGCATGTGATAAAAACTATGAAAGCGAGTTTACAATAGGCAAATTTGAGAGTTGAAGAAATGTGAGCTGACACGTAAACATCATGTTTCTCTGTGGAGATTAATTTACTTCAAGGAATTATAGGTGACCCATTCTGAATAGTTTTTCTTCTCTTCAAGCAGTAAACATTTCTTGTTAACCATCTCACTTTTATGTCTCTATATAATTTCTGCATATAATAAGTTATTTCCTCTCACACGGATCTAAACATAAATGTTTCACTGGGAGTGTTTATCCGCACAAATACCAAAGTATAGTTTTTCAATAGTTCTAACCTAAGATCCTGGTATGTATCTGTTACAAGCCATTCTATATTATGTAGTCCAGATATGCTTATCAGTCTGAGACCTACGTTTAAAAACTATAACCAATCTAAAATCTAGATCTAATCATTGTAATAAGCACTATGTGACATGCTTAATCTAAAGATTGCTTAAAAAATAGTAGTGTCCTATTTGTTTTTGCCTATCTAATTGTGTCTATCTCTGCATTATCATTTAGCCTGATAGTGACAGCTCTGAACATACAAGACTACTGATTATCGAGATATATGTTCCTACTGTTATTAAGAATCTTCAGTTCATACAGTTTGCATACATGTTCTTTTTCACACTAACAATATCACTAGTTTTAGCTTAAGATAATCAATAAATCTCATCGGTTTAACTTTTGGACTTTCAAATTTACTCCTACTGTATTAACCTGAATTGCGCCTGTAAATCGGTCTGAATTTTCCTTGCATTCAAATAATACATATATTATTATATGGATGAATGCTAAAAACTGAAAGGTTTCTTACAATAATTCAATGATAGTTTTTCATATTATATGATTATCAATTTGAAAGACACCTTAATTGATTGCTTTAACTGAATATCACAACCATGAAAAGTTTTAGATCATTATAAATCTTAAGAATAATATGACCTAATGTAGTATGTTTTATACTAGGATAATTGTTATATGTACGTTTCTATATAAACATTGTATTAGCACATGAGAAAGAGAAAACCAATTACTCAAAGTACACACGGTCATCATATAACCAGTTATATATATATATATATATATATATATATATATAATAAAAATTTCTACATTTAAATTCATATCCATTGAATAGGTTACTGGATATCTGAACTGAATGGCTAAGCGGACAACACGTTTGTTTTCAAGTGCTAGTTTGAACATTTTTATGGTGATTCAGATATATGCACCGGACAGGTTTTAGATAAACTAACTATCCTGGATCCTACTCTTAACCATAACGCAAATATTTCTGAATTGTTTGTAAAATGTATTTTTGCGGAAGTAGTACAAGTGAAATAAAATAGTCAATCAGTTGACCGGTGTCTAAAAGGTAGAATCAGTTATACTCGACGAAATGTAGAGAAAACATAGGACTAGAATAAATATGTGAAAAAGCTCTGGATCGTTTTATGTATATAAGTTGATGTTATGATAAAACTTTTATAATACTGCCAAAACATAAATATTCATTAAATATAAAGTCAGCTAAATTTATTTATTTGAGCACACAAATGTTGCTACAAAATGGCACCGAATACATATGTGCCGTACAAGTCACTTGATTTGTGTGTGGGCTGTGGTACTGCCCTTATGCCCAGACCGAAGTAGGAGGGCCACACCCGGAGCCATCAACCTAAATGTCTAATCCACAAAGCAGTAGAGCAACGTCAGGAGATGCAGTCCTATGGTAGCCGGTGGCCAACAATAGGTTTGTACGCCTTTTGTCCCTTCAAGACCCTGGAGCCCATGTGCACCATTGGTTTGGAACCAGGGTTTTCCAACTTCCCTAGGTGGACTCTCCGTGTCCACCAACCTGGTTAAACCGTCGGACATTTGCTTTTCGTCTCCTCAATTCCGTAAGCAACACCCCTGCCACGAGAAGGCAGTGAGTAGGACTCCCCTGGTAGTGGTTGTATGCACGTGGCCATGTGAGTGCGTTTCGAGGAGAGCAGACTCTCCCCACCTTCGGCCTTGGGAGGCAATCAACTTAATACGCATAAACACGTGGTTATTTTGCGTATTTGAAGTGCACAATAAATCTATATAATTCATAAAGCGATTTATTAGCTATCGCTTTTATGAAAGGATAAACCTGTTCATGATTACATTACAGAAAATAAGTTTATTTTTTTTATGTAACAGTTTATCAGATTTGTAAATTGTGACAATGAACACCGAAATTAACCACTCTGTTTAAGTATATTCGTTTTGTTACAGATACTTAAGTAAACAAAATAACAGTTTTATGATAATTTACAAAGAAAGAAGTTCAAACTGCGTTAATTGATTAGCTTATTACTAGCTGATTTAGTTTATATATTCCAGTAAGAATCATTAGGAAGTTTAACGTTGAAATCTTTATTCTGCTGGCAGACTTTTGACGTTTCATTAAATTATTTTATAAGTTAATAACTGTAACATGAATCAGTTTTTGTCTCTTTTCATTATGAGTTCTTGGCATTCGGTGAGACATTTTCACAAATATAGCTGTCATTAACATACTGTGTGGAACTTAGTCTTGTGTTGATTATTTTTTTGAAAACTTTTTGGTAAACATTTTATTGATGGTTGGTTCTGCTGTACTGAAATAAACCATGATTCTAAGTATTGTAAATGCATGTGTAAAAGAATCAACCTTAAGAAGTATACTTTATTGACAATATAAATGATATTGTATAGTGTCTAAGTCTTTAGAACAGACAAGTGTTGTCCATATTAGGAAAATCATTGGAAAATGAAAAGCGGAAATTTACAGATAAGAATGTTTTCATCAAAAGGACTAATTGTTTTAAAAAATTAAAATGCAACAGTTTACTCAACCATTCTTCATCCTCGAAACTACATTTTTTTCAACATGGTCTCCATAGTAAATAATTACTACGTGAACATTGTCGTATTCACTAATGGAATACGAACGCAAATTTCACAATGAAGACTAATAGCTGTCTAGTGAATTTTCAGTGCACATCAATCCCACGCTAAGTATGGGTTTTTACAATCTGGCGAGCATCTGCAACATATATTTAATATACAAAGCACTGAAACTAACCAGATGTTTTTAATAAGTGGGATTACTCACGTTCACAAAGTATCTAACTTATTCAGTCATTTGCTGAATTCCTTTATAGATTCTTTGGATAAGAAGATTGACAAATATTCACTAGATTTCTTCTTCAAGAGTACGATTCTTCTTAAATCCATTAGATACTTTTCTTAGAAGGATGTAACTGATCTCCATGTTATGCTGAAACTGAAAACACTCATATTTGACTTTATGGATTTGGATTATATAATCAAAAGCTCTGATGTTAGATAGCTTTAATATAACTTAAAATGTGTAACTTATCAGTGATTACTCTCATTTTATTAATTTTGCATACAAGACTAAAACAAAATCTTACAATATTTAACACAATTTTAATGTATTGATAAAGCCAACCATCATTTAAGCCTGATAAAATATGACCTAATTCTCCTCAGCCAATCAATTATGTGTTGGTCTAACTGAAGATCAATATAGCGGTTCATTCATTAAAACGCACCAAAATCACTTTGTTGTTATCAAAGTTCGAATGTTTTTAAACAAACTGAACTAAAAACGCGGTAAACTGTTATCCGAATTCTGTAGTCACACTGTAAGAAACCATGTGATATAAAGACAGCAAAATTTTCATTAGAATACATATGATAAATAAAGTAGTCCATTGCAATTC